TGTGGGTGCCCGAGGGCCCTGCCCTGATGTGGCGGCTGTGCCACCAGCTGGCCCTGGAGTGCGAGGAGCTGCCCCGGCCCTTCCACCGGCAGGTAATGGCTCTAGGCCCCCCCGGCCACCCCCATCCCGGGCTGGGGGCTGTGCACCCCGCCAGCTGATGCTGCCTCTGTACCCGCAGGTTCTGGTGCTGGGGGGCCGCCGCGTCTCGCTGCCATATGAGTTCCTGGTGCCCTGCCTGTGCATCGAGGTGCGTTGCCCTCCTCTGCGGCCGCTGGGCCCCTCTCCCCTGCCCGTCCCTGCCCGTGTGGCGAGCGCAGGCAGGAGGGTTGGGGGCACGTCCTGCCCTGACTGCCCCGCTCTGCTCCCCCAGGCCTCCTACCCCCACCATGACAGCCTGCGCAGCAAGCGCTGCCCCTTCCGCGACCAGCCGGCCGCCTGTGAGTGCCCGTGGGGAGGGGAGACGTGTCCCAGGGGTCCCCCCGGCTGTCCCCCCACCCTGCTGACGCCATGTCCCACAGATGGCCCCGAGCTGTGGTCGTCGGTGCGCTTCCATGACTACAGCGCCAGTGGCAAGGACCAGATGGCAATGGTGCTGAGCGCCAGCTGCCCCCTGCGCCCCCGGGCCACCCTGTGCTGGAAGGAGGCGGTGGCTGACGCCGCGCCCTGCCACGACGTCCCCAACTCCACAGCCAGCGAGGAGGAGCAGGTGAGGGATCTTGGCCTTGGGGTGCCACAGGGCACCAGCCCGGAGGGGTGCAGAGCCATGTCCCTGGCTGGGGCACCTGCCGGGCCCCAGGGTCCCTCGAGGGTGGTGGGCAGGCACTGGGGTGCCCGTAGGCTTCACGAGTTGGGGACAGTGATGCGCTCTCTGCCCGTACTAGGCATACACGCTGGACAAGGTGGACGTGCACCCCCAGCTCTGCTTCCGGGTAAGCCCCCGCAGTTGGGTGGGCACCGCCTGGAATGGGCTGGGGGGCAGCAGTGGGCGATGGCGACTCACCCAGCCCCTCTGCTGACCCCCGCTCCCCCCAGTTCTCCTATGGGAACAGCAGCCATGTGGAGTGTCCTCACCGTCCAGGTGAGCTCTGTGGGCGGGGGGCACCCCTGGGCTGAGCACAGCCCATCCCCGGGGTCCCTCGCACCCTCATCCCCTGGGGCATCCTGTGATCCCCCCTCTCTCTATGGTGGCTGCAGAGACCGCCTGGAACGTCTCGGTGAGCACCCGGGGGCTGCAGCTGCGCCTGCGCCTCACCTCCAGCGTCCCCGCGGCCTTCAGTGCAGCCCTCTGCCAGCGCCGGGGCGGGCAGTGCGAGCCTGAGGCCCCCCTCTACACCGTCACGCAGGTGAGCGGCACGGGGCTGGGTGGGACACGGGGGGGGCACACACGAC